ATAATCTTAATGTTAACCGATACAGATCTAGTTTTTTCAAAATCATCATCCATGGGATTCGAACTCTAGACCTGCCGTTTGGGGGTGCGACAACTCCACCACTTCACTAAGTCGCCACACCCTTTCCTATTAAATTTTCTAATAGAGGTTTATCAGTTTTTGCATTAGTTTTTGAGTAATTTTGATGGGACCGAACAGTGTGGAGAAATTTTAGCTAATCGGTCCCTAGTCGGTCCCATTTAAATTACGCAAAAACTAATGCAAAAACTGATAAACTTCTATTAGAAAATGTAACAGAAAAATTATTTTTCTATGACTTTATTTATTAGACGAATATTGGTTAAAAATGCCAATTTTTTATAAATATTGCTCAAAGTCGGCTGACAATTACTGCGGGACCGATTAACATCTCTAATCATTCCTATATTATATTAACGTTTAGACAAAATTAAGATTATCGATAGGACTGCCAGTTTTTGCACTATGACTAAGTTACTTAAATTGCTATGCAGCATATTATTATGATAATCGATAATTCACAGCGTTTGTTATTATAAATAATTTGAACTATAAATTTCATATATTATTAAAATTCGAACATTGCATAATTATTACTGCATCATTACAGCAAAAAAAAACAACGGTTACAGCATCAGACCCTGATTCCAAGTTTAAACTAAAAAGGAATAGCGAGTTACACATTTGAGTATTTCAAATTTTTGAACCACTTTTCATGCCTAACAATTTTTCTTATACTATTTTAATGTTACACATTCAATTTTTCTATCTAAGAATGAAAAAATTAAATCAAAATAAATAGATCAGTAAATACTTCAATTAATAAAAAATTGGTATACCCACAGACTAATTGATGTGAGTAAGAATTAAATGAAAAATAAATAGCTTAAATATTTCGATTAATACTATTTAAACCCTTTTTTCTGACTAATTGCTCCTGGTTTTTTTTTTTTTTTGAACTTCAAGTTGATTTCGATTTCCGGCATTCCCTAATTTCTTTTTTCTGAAAATTTTGATCAATTCGATATAAAACAAGAAGTTAGATAAATTAAATATTTTTATATCAAGTATTTCAATCGATAATTGAATGATCAATATACTCAACTAATTATGAAATGTGCTTACCTTAAGTGCTCTTTACTTTTCCGGTTTATAATTCAACATAATAAAAATGCTGTTTTAAAAAATCTTGTTTTTAAAATGTGCCGCTTATTTGTTAATTTTAAAATTGGTATAATAATCGAAAAGGTACCATATATTGGATCATTCTAAGCCGATCAAAATCTGCCAAAATAGCAAGATCGGCTTAGAAAGTTGACGATTCTATATTTTATTATATTATCTTGTTTAAACTAATCCTCTTCAGAATTAACAATAATTCATACCAAATTTTTTGTAGAGCTTTCATTAAAAAATCTATACAACTCTAAAGCTCTTCCAAAAATAGTTAACAAGTTATGCTGCTCATCAACATGAATAAAATCGCCAAAACCAAGAAAATAGATGAAAAATTTAGCACTAATATGACTAAAAATCATGTGTCCAGAATTAGTTACAGGTGAAAAAATATTATTTTGAAGTGGAAAAAAAACTTTAACTGATAGATAAGATAATGAATCTATATTGAATACATCACCATGTACATAGGAATGATAATTAGAATTCTTCCAAAATTTGTACAAGACAAAGTTCACCATTAATATAAGAAAATCCATAACCATGCTTGTGAAAAGGATTATGTTCTCCAACATTAGCGATGGTTATTCCATTTAGATCTGAATTTTAAAAATAATTTATTAAATAAGCATTTAAACTACCAGTATTCATATTTAATTACTTACCAACTCTCTTATTTGCATTTGATAATATAGACAAATGACATCGATTTTTCCACCGAATTCCACGTAATTTCTCCATTCGTAATATTTCCAGATTTGATGTGTAGCTTGCAATTAGATTACTAATTGTATTTGAGGAAACAGAATTCATATGATCAAGATTTTAAATTTTACAAGTAGTCTTTCGCTCCATATTTTGATTACTATAACATTTGTGAATTTTCCGTAAATTAACTAGGTATGAAACATCCAAGGTTTCCACTTTGGTAACGCCAGTATAAAATTTTTTATATATTCCTAAATCATAACTGTTTAAAGAATCTGTGTTTAATAATAAAAAAGCTAACTCAAGACGTGCATCTCTTAAATCATCTTCAATATCGTCATCACGAATATCAATTGTATTAATGTTAACTACGGTAGTTGCTGCTATGGCAATTGCATGTGAATCTAATATTTCATTATTTTGGGACAAATCATTAAAATCAGCAAAAAAATCATTCTTATTATTTTTATCATCTGACTAATTCGATTGTCCTTCAAAAGTGTTTAAAAAATCAAAAAGTTCATCATTACAATTAACCATTGAAAGTACTTTTGCCAAATCCCAAGCTTGTTGATATCCCTCATGAACAGCACAAAGCAAATCATCATTCGAAGGCTATTGATGTAACATATTAATAGTTTCTGCAAGTGTCCCAGTATTATAATGCGTGATATAACCTAATAAAAATAAATAATTAGAGATTTAATTGTATAAATAATAAAATAGTATATAAATTATACTTACCAACTCCAGAAGTTTTATCCTTCATTACTTCATTTAAAGTACTATTCATATACACCTTATACATATATGATACTTTTGGAACCATATATAGTAAATCGGAAAACGTAAAGTCATTATTTATTTGTCGACACAATCCAAAAAAATGTTCGCACCCTTCAGATCCGTGAAGCCATGGTAATAACGGATAAGAATTATAAAAATCACGATATGATATAATCAGAAGAATCTAACAAAAATAAATTAGAACATTAGCATAGTAATATTTTGTAAACTTTAAGAAACTAGCAGATATTTATTCTTACTAATGATTTGGCTAAGCTTGTTAAAATATTAAATGTTTGTATTGCAAGAAAATTTTTCTCAAGACTAATATAATTTGGGTTAGCTGATCCAGTTGATAAAATATATGATCACCATATCATAAGAAAGAAATAAGCCATCATGACCATTCGAGCCCTTTCTAAATGTAAAATTGTTCTGTTTTGATATGCATCAACCAACTCGCCTGGTCAAAATATTAAAATTAAAACATTAAAACAAAAGTTTTAATTTTTAATATGAATATATTATTAACTTACCAATTACAAACAAATAAACAAAAAGCCCATAACGAATATTTTTAAAATCATTTGAACTCATGACTTGATTAAGAAGTGAAGAACAGAAAAGGTGATAACTAGCTCCATCATCTTGGCAATCACAATTAATAACGTCTTTCTTATATAATATGGGGTGTCCCCAATTAAAACAGCCCATATTTACAATTTTTTGAAAATTAAGTTTTTATTAGATTCATATAAATTTTGATATGATGAACATTTTTCAATTATAAATGAAAGTCGATTTGCATAATAAAAAATAGAGATAATGTAAAAGAAAAATTACACGAGGCTTTCTAAGGTCAAGCATATCACGAGATTACCCGATAGTCACCTGTTACCTTTAACCAATCAAAATCATGGAATTTGATTAATCCCGGATCAGCCCGAAAATCAAAACAAATGATTAAACTCAATTATCTCAAAATGAGGCATATGTAAATATGGGCTGTTTTAATTGGGGACACCCCATATGCTATCATCTTGTTTACATATATCTAATATTTGATCATACGTTGCTACATAATGTCCTAAAGTAAGCAATCATGCTCCAGAAAATAATGCATTTCGTGCAGATTTTTGGGCATGTAATGGATCAGAAACTCGAATTACTGGTCCTACTCCAGGAAAAACAGGGCAAGTAAAGTTTATATTATATATTGGATCACTAAAATCTTTTGTTAATCCAGTATTTTTGGTCATTAAGTATTTTTGAGCATTAAATTCCAAAATAGCACCATCAGCACCAATAGAAATTATATGAATTGAAAGTTGGCTAGCTATTTCTAACACCTTTTCATACATTTGTAATATATGCATTGATGTTTCATTGCCGTTATTCGGAATTAACCTGATTACAACTGGTGGGAACTTTGGTAAAGGTATCTAATTTTGAAAATTATTTTTTTATTTTATTTTTTTTAGAATGACTATGAATTTTTTTACTTATAACACCATAATCTATACGTGCATAGCAGAAACTTTGTTGTCGCTATATATATAATAGCTTAAGGTATTATTATTATTAACATTACTTAAATTAAGCACTTACTTGAAGCAAATATAAACGAACTTGCTTTGCAATCGCATTATTTGAAATTATATTTTGAATAATTGTTTCTACTTCGTCGTAATCTTCAACCCGAGTTTGATCATATGAAAAAATAGAACCAACAATACATCCAAGATTTGTGGAATAGCCAAGATGAGGATGAAGTTTAGTATTATCAGTTATCGCAATAATTGGTCCATTATAGTTCATAGAATCAGCTAGTCTTTTAAACCACGCCATATTTTCAAAGGCTATACTTGTGTCAGATATATACTTCCCAGATCTTTGACGTAAGAGCCTGTATAAAAAATATTTCTAATTTAATTATCCTTTACTATAAGAAATTCTATATATCAAATAAAAAATTGGGTTTTAGGTCAAAATTCCGATAATAAGAATCCCAACAGGGTCAAAATTCTGACAAAGTTAGCTAAAGTTAGTTGAATGTTGGCCAGTTTTTTCAGGATTTTGACCCTGTCGGGATTTTGACATAACCCAAAAAATTTGGTACCTTATATTTTGTAGTGTTTGCCCCACCAAATTGGCACGGTAAAATTCATATGCTCTTGGACTTATACTAGAAAGTATGGCCGTAAAATGGGTAATATCCTCGCAATATTTCAAATTTTGAATACCTTTTTGATGTTCCTCACGATGAGCTATTTGTATCATTAATTCACATAGTCCTTTAAATGTAGCTTTTGACTCAAATGCTCCATTTAAACCTTTTTCAGCTAATTTTACCCAAAATGGTATTACATTAATTTTATTATTATAAGTAATCGAGGTCCAAAGTTCTTTTATATCCAGGTTTTTAAGAAATTTTTTTTTTTTTTTTGACTATCCCAACTGCTACCAAAGCATATGGGGCGCGTGTGGCGCTCTTTATTAATTTCAATATT